GTGGTGGGTGGATATTAAAACAACAAGATTTGTGGTGGGTGGATATTAAGACAACTAGATTAGTGATTGGTGGAAATTAAAACAACCAGATTAGGGGTGGGTGGATATTGGAACAAGCCGATTAGTGGTGGGTGGGTATTGGAACAACTAGATAAGTGGTTGGTGGATAATAAAACAACTAGATTAGTGATGGGTGGATATTAAAACAACTAGATTAGTGGTGAATGGATATTAAAACAACTAGATAAGTGGTGGGTGGATATAAAAACAACTAGATAAGAGGTGGGTGGATATTGGAACAACTAAATTAGTGGTGGGTGGATATTGGAACAGCTAGATTAGCGGTGGGTGGATATTAAAACAACTAGATTAGTGGTGGGTGGATATTGAAACAACTAGATTAGTGGTGGGTGGATATTGGAACAACTAAATTAGTGGTGGGTGGATATTGGAACAACTAGATAAGTGATGGGTGGATATTAAAACAGCTAGATTAGTGGTCGGTGAATATTATAACAACTAGATTGGTGGTGGGTGGATATTAAAACAACCAGATAAGTGGTGGGTGGATATTGGAATAACTAGATTAGTGATTGGTGGATATTGGAACAACTAGATAAGTGGTTGGTGGATAATAAAACAACTAGATTAGTGATGGGTGGATATTAAAACATCTAGATTAGTGGTGAATGGATATTAAAACAACTAGATAAGTGGTGGGTGGATATTTGAACAACTAGATAAGTGTCGGGGGGATATTGGAACAACTAGATTAGTGATGGTTGGATATTCTAGATAAGTGTCGGGTGGATATTGGAACAACTAGATTAGTGTTGGGTGGATATTGGAACAACTAGATTAGTGATGGGTGGATATTGGAACAACAAGATAAGTGGTGGGTGGATATTAAAACAACTACATTAGTGGTGGGTGGATATTGGAACAACTAGATAAGTGATGGGTGGATATTAAAACAGCTAGATTAGTGGTCGGTGAATATTATAACAACTAGATTGGTGGTGGGTGGATATTAAAACAACCAGATAAGTGGTGGGTGGATATTGGAATAACTAGATTAGTGATTGGTGGATATTGGAACAACTAGATAAGTGGTTGGTGGATAATAAAACAACTAGATTAGTGATGGGTGGATATTAAAACAACTAGATTAGTGTTGGTTGGATATCAAAACAACTGGATTAGTGATGGGTGGATATTAAAACAACTAGATTAGTGGTGGGGGGATATTGGAACAACTAGATTAGTGATGGGTGGATATTGGAACAACTAGATTAGTGGTGGGGGGATATTGGAACAACTAAATTAGTGGTGGGTGGATATTGGAACAACTAGATAAGTGATGGGTGGATATTAAAACAGCTAGATTAGTGGTCGGTGAATATTATAACAACTAGATTGGTGGTGGGTGGATATTAAAACAACCAGATAAGTGGTGGGTGGATATTGGAATAACTAGATTAGTGATTGGTGGATATTGGAACAACTAGATAAGTGGTTGGTGGATAATAAAACAACTAGATTAGTGATGGGTGGATATTAAAACATCTAGATTAGTGGTGAATGGATATTAAAACAACTAGATAAGTGGTGGGTGGATATTTGAACAACTAGATAAGTGTCGGGGGGATATTGGAACAACTAGATTAGTGATGGGTGGATATTGGAACAACAAGATAAGTGGTGGGTGGATATTAAAACAACTACATTAGTGGTGGGTGGATATTGGAACAACTAGATTAGTGGTGGGTGGATATTGGAACAACTAGAATAGTGGTGGTTGGATATTGGAAGAACTAGATTAGTGGTGGGTGGATATTAAAACAACTAGATTAGTGGTGGGTGGATATTAAAACAACTAGATAAGTTGTGGGTGGATATTAAAACAACTAGATTAGTGGTGGGTGGATATTGAAACAACTAGATTAGTGGTGGGTGGATATTGGAACAACTAGATTAGTGATGGGTGGATATTGGAACAACTAGATTAGTGGTCGGTGGATATTAAAACAACAAGACTAGTGGGGGTTCAATATTGGAACAACTAGATTAGTGATGGGTGGATATTAAAACAACTAGATTAGTGTTGGTTGGATATCAAAACAACTGGATTAGTGATGGGTGGATATTAAAACAACTAGATTAGTGGTGGGTGGATATTATAATATCTATTAGTGGTGGGTGGATATAAGGACAACTACATCAGTGGTGGGTTGATATTAAAACAACTAGATAAGTGGTGGGTGGATTTGAAAACAACTAGATTAGTTGTGGGTGGATATTTGGACAACCATATTAGTGGTGCGTATATATTGTGACAACTGGATTAGTTGTCATGTGGACAACTAGATTAGTGATGGTAGGATATTGGGACGTGGATGGATATTGGAACAACTAGATTAGTGATGGTTGGATATTGGGACGTGGATGGTTATTGGAACAACTAGATAAGTGATGGTAGGATATCGGGACGTGGATGGATATTGGAACAACTAGATTAGTGATGGTAGGAAATTGGGACGTGGATGGATATTGGAACAACTAGATAAGTGATGGTAGGATATCGGGACGTGGATGGATATTGGAACAACTATATTAGTGATGGTAGGATAGTGGAACAACAAGTTTAGTGTTTGTTAAAAACTAGCACCAGTTGTCATCTCTGCTGATAAAATGTGGACATTTAGTAAAGTTCCTGACAGCAAGATGATGCTGAGTAACAACGTTTGATAATCAATTGCAATCAAATATATAATTATTAGGTGAGATATGCAGCCTTTATATGAACTTGATATTAATTTGACCTTACAAGTAATCTCGCTTCTTCTTCCATTTGTCTCCAAATCACCGCTTAAATGAATTATGATTGGCGAGTTGGATAATAAGTGGTGACTGTGGAAGTGAGATCAATAAATTAGTGGTAACATGGTAGTGGTATAAATAAATTGGTTATAACTGGATAGTGGGATCAATAAATTAGTGATAACATGGTAGTGGTATAAATAAATTGGTTATAACTGGGGAGTGGGATCAATATATTAGTGATAACATGGCAGTGGTATAAATAAATTGGTTATAACTGGGAAGTGGGATCAATAAATTAGTGATAACAGTGTAGTGGTATAAAAGAGTGCTAACTAGGAAGTGGGATACGCCAAATAGTGATAAGTGGGATCAATATATTGGTAATAACTGGGTGGTGGGATAATAAGTTAGTGATAACAGGAAAGTGGGATAAATAACTTACTATGCTGTGTATAAAGAAATGAAGTTCGTGTCCGTGCTATGAATATAAGCACTCGCTGAAGCTAAATCCTAAAAGGTCTGATATTTGTATTACTGTACAGTGGCTAAGTAGTACCGTGTTTGCACATTGTATAGGGTCTTCGTACATGTAGCATACTTTCTATTTGTACTTTTTATAGTGAGCTGATAGCATATTTAGTACACTATTTCTAAGTGTATAGTGACTTATATATAGTACTGAATTTGTACAAAGAATTGTAACCTAAGAAGTGTTTTTTAATGTATAGTGGCGTTATGACATATTGTGGGATAGTAACATACATAGTACTCTATTTGTCTGATCAGACAGGTATGATGTCTGAATAATATCAACAAGAACTCGGGATACTCAGTTTATTACTGTGTCATATGATTTATATTCTGTTCAACCTAATTTTAGCTAACAATAGAGTTTAGTGTGGCAAATACTTTACACCCCGCTGCCATGCTTCACCTGTTAGAGATGTTCTTCTCCACACATACAAACAACTCTAGTACATTTTACATTCTAACCTGGAAATCATTTTCTGTGTTAGTCTTTCGATCTGTCTATGTTTTCTAAATCGATAAAACATATTTCATTTACATGCCGTCTTACATAATACTATACCTTTAACAAGTTTCAGGCAAAGAGATAGAGGATAAAATTTTATGTTATAAATATAGCATTTTAAGACGCGGAGACAAATTATAATTTTCATGACGATATTTCGTTTACGATGTGAAACGCGATCCAATTTCACATGCCCTTATCATATGTAAAACCCCATACCATGCTATGGTAGGAGTCTTCATCAGCACAATCCGGCATGAGGAGATTTGTAATGTTACGAGGGCCGTAGTATTTATAGCCAACATGGGCCCTATCGTGTATGCATGGTTGCTCATTGTGTCCCTCCAAGCGGCAGCCCCCTATCCGAGCTCCTCTGATCGTTATATACTGACTAAAGTCAACTGACACAGGCATTCAATCTCCTGGATATTGTCCCGTTTGCCTGCCTTATTTCATGGTTTGTGAACATTATATGTTTCCTATCATCCCGTATACATGTGCATCGGAAGGATGATATAGACGCTCCTTCATAATACCTTCTACGGTTTTTCTCTCACGGTTCAATCTTATACATAGGAACACTGTATATGACCCTGTGAACACACTCGCATAGCACACCGGCGTATTTATATGACAAGACAGTGATATTAAACAGAAAAAATAGGCAAAATTCGCTTCTTAATTATTATTAGCGTAAAGGTCTCGAATGGACAGATCGAGAAAAAAACATTTGAATCACTTAGGATGTGAGCGATATGGACCAATCAGAGACGAGCTAGCGTCAGAGGAGTCGTCTGCTCTGTAATGTTATTTCCATCAATCACCCGTCGAGTGCCACCTCTGTTAGAGGGGCAATGATGCCTTGGGATCACTCGCAAAAATATCCTAGGAGTGTGTGTGTGTTTAACATGATTTGTTGTGAATTTTAATCACTCGTCAGTCAGATTCTTACTGTGTATAGGTTAAATATATACCCACCATGTAGTGAGGGAATGGAGCAGAAGAATTTGTACATATTTCAGGCCACGTGCACACTGGAAGGAGTAATTTGAGGGGGGACTGTGATCTGGTTTGTTGGATGATGTTTAGTATGGGATTTATCAATGAGATATGTATTACCTCACATTGTTGTTTCCGTCCGTAGAGACCCGGCAAGTCGTACGTCAATGATATGCCAAAATGGCACTAGGAATCACACGGTGGCCAGGCATAGGAATTGTGCTTCTATTGGGAATATTACAGGCTTTTCTTGTTTCTGCCGTTGGAGATATTTGGTGGTAAGTGCACTTATATTTTTACATTTTTATTATAATACTCGAAAAATATTTATATAAGTTTTGGTTAAATTTACTTTCGTTATACAATTTCTTTACATTATTTTAGTTGTATAATAAAGTTAACATTTGATTTTTTTTAAGTAAAATTATAAACTGATCATAACCATATGACAGATTATATGCAAGTGTTAAAGGATAAATACAAAATATCATGTTGTACTTTGAGATAAGTCTACAGTCGTTTGCGAAGCTTTAGTGTTATCGTGAATTCCCATATATGAAGAAGATAAATCCTCTATCACATTCATCAACTACTATCATGGGTATAGTGAGTGATTTAAATCAGCAATAAGTAAACACTGGAATCGGCCTTTATTGACAAAAATGTCCGGATTAACCTAACATAGATCCGCGTAGGACACAGGACGCATTCCTCACACCCCGTCCATTCACTGTACAGATAGGAAATGTATAATACACTATACATACACCTTCGTATGAAACATTCCAAAAATAAATATCATGTACAATGTACACACCGTGACAAAAATGGCCAGATAATCTAAAACGTTAAGTGACAAAACAGGTATACAATTTAACAAAGGCAATGTAGTAGAAAGAACATTTATGGAGAAGCGAATAGCGTTTTTTGTTTATGCCTCGGTCGAGCGGATGGCCATACAAGCTTTACCCTTGAGCCCCGAGTTTGTAAACTGCTCGGCCAAATCAATAGCACAGGAGTGACAACTGTGACACCGCCGTCTGCTTATACGTAATTGATGATTTTCTTCTGACCTCAATTAAACACTCAAAAATGGCTGGAAGATAAACAGACATCATTATTATACAATATAGCGGGCGATATCCATATCAGATGCATGTCTCGTCTCTCCCCGAGCTCACCTGTACAGGTGAATCTAAAGCGCTTGTCGACACACCACAATCGATAATGTACATAACACACCAACAATTCCCTTCACAGCTCTCTACCTATTAATTGTCTTAATATGACATGTGATCCCTTATTTACCTAAATACGGCTCTATGATTCGGGCACGCCAGCATGACTGTGTAAAACATTCGTGTTCAAGCATTTCTGTTTATTGTACATTTAAATGAATTTCCCACTTCCTATGTCGTTGTCCAGAAAAAAAGCCTTACCTTTGATTTTAAAAATAGAAAGGATAGTTTAATTAACCGCGAGTCTACGGTTGTTTTCTTAAGCTTTTGTGCATTTAAATTATTACTTTGTAGTAGTATTTAAATAGGATGAATCATTCTAATTCACTCCATCTGTGTTCCAGTTTTATTTTTACGTTTTATTGATTAAACGTATACGACTATCCAGGTTTAATCATGATGTTGGCATTTTCCCGTAACATTTAAGTGTTATGAACCCATGGTCGAGTGCCTTAGAAGATATAGCTCTTCAAATGAGATACTCTGATAGTTTCTGTGATAGAGAAAGACCTGCTATCACACAGATGCTGTTATTTCCATATTGTGTGGCCAGCATGTTTCATTCAATTTGAAAACATATTATCTTTTCACGTGTTTTTCATTTGATTGCGATTCTATATCATCACAAACTTCGTTTGTGTTACCAAATGCAGCCTAATAGAGTTATATCGTAGATTTTATGACATTTTGTATTCAATTCGATACACGCAAAAGCAGTTTTCCAGCAGTGATTTATATCGTTTATTAAAATAAATTAACAGCAGTTCCTATTAATGAATCCAAATGCAATTGATAGAAATAACATTTACCATTTGGTTAATTACATTTAATGTTTAAAAGTTGTGTGTGTGTCGATATTGGTAAAAATTAAAACAAATATAGATCCTCATGCTATCTTTTTAAACAGAGTTATTGTTTTTATATCAAACGTGTACTCCAATAATCAGGTTATATACAATTATTTTAGATATCAAAATTAGAAAATAATTTTTGATTGTGTAATATATTTGAGATTTTGCTGATATTTATTTTATATCTACATAATGACTCGTTGATATTCAGAGATTTATTGATTGCTAGTTTAATATATCTTATTATGTTATTTATTATTTTATGCTTATACAACTTTGATATTGATCGTTATATAGGAATCTTGCTGGAAAGTTTGAGTCGTGGAAGAATCCGCAGTTATATATCCTTGGATCCCAGCCCCTGTGCCCTAAGTTAAGGGGCCTGTCCCCCGGGCAGGTGAGGCTGTGTCAACTTTATCAGGATCATATGCCCAGTGTGGGCAGGGGTGCCCAGCTTGGTATTGCTGAGTGCCAGGTTCAGTTTGGGCACAGACGGTGGAACTGCTCTACAATCGAAGGAGATAACTCCGTATTTGGACCAGTGTTAGAAAGAGGTAACTATCATTTTTTACTTTGTAGACGTTCCAGTGAAATGTGCTTCAATACTATGAATATTAAACAAACAAAACATAAATAAATAATGAAGTGAAAAAGAATATAAATAAAAAATGAAAATAGAAATAAAATAAAAAATGAATAAAAATAAAATTAGAATTTATGAATAAACAAATAAAAAGACCTAGTCGAAAGGATCCTGTAAAAGATCTTTTACAACATTGATTCATGTATTTCACTTTTGAATATCACTAACTCAATCAATGTAAGAAATGTGAATCATTGTGCTTCGTTTAGAGACTTTCATTAAACGTAACTTTTATATCATAATTAAAGGGCTAGGCGAACAGATAGCTGTTTGCTTGTATGGAGTTGGATATCAAAAGTTACTCGCTTTACTCCACCAGCAAAATTTAAAATTCAAATATCCTGCGGTTAAAACTTCACAACGGAACTTTTTTTTTTATTAATTTGCAGTCGATTTGGAAAATATTAACAAGATTTAATTCAAAGAATTTTAATATGAAAAAAAGTTTGAAAAGAAATATTTAAAATCAAATATCTCTATCGAATTAATATACTTTTTCTGCAACGTTTGATTTTTTGTTGTTCTTCAACTTTTCATTTTGTTATCTACTAAACTTCATGTTAATACTGCATTTTAAATGGAGTTGATGCACAGAAAACGCTTCATACTTTTAATAACAACAACTCATCTTGAATGCATATTTGCAACTTTTATTAATTTACTCATTTTCCTACTTTGGAATTTAGTTGAATGTGCTGGCTTAACTGTCATGGTCAGATAATATTTGAGTATAAGAAGTCATTTCGTACTTTTATCGACACACCTGTATTAACATTGTCTAATGGAGCTAAGATCGGCAGGTAACGCTTGAACCCTATCCATGTTGTCTTTATCAGTTTTATTCGTTTTGTCTCTCGTCAAGTAACAAATACTGCTTTAAATTTACACAAGGCAGACTCTTAAATAACTGACTAGATAAAGCCGGAGTTGATGAGCGCTTCCTGTTAGAAAGTGATCGTGTAATAGCCGCGAAATTGAACATAGTTAGTCTTATTACCGATGTTGATATCACCGCTTTGTATTGCATTCGATAGAAAACGATTCAGAAAGGAAAAAGGCTTCACCGTGTATGTCGTTTAGGTACGAATTGCTGGAAGAAGTAACATATTTAGACAATTAGAGGCTGGTATCAGCATCCCTTGTATAGATAGCAGGATAGGTTATCAGGTATGGGACGGTAATCAGAAACCTGTAGATACGGTACCAGTTCTGTTGCCTGGACTTGGGTATTCAGCTCTAAAAAACAGAAACTCTTTTTGTCGGATAAGATACTAACGATTCTGACATAACAGATAATGTTTTCAGTGTCACTTAATAATGGAAGTGGTGTTGATATGGTTATTTCAGTCTTAATGATGATAAAATTATTCATTGGAATTAAAATAAAGGTCCAATCGTAAACCAAAACTACGTAAACGAGTTGCATTCCTTAGGTTTGATAATATAACAAATGTTGCTGCTTGAAATAGGTTTACTTCTCTGAATTGCTATCTAAAATGGAAAATTATAAATCAAAAGCGGCAAAATTTGTTAATTTATCAAAAAATTAACTAATAAGAATGAACACACATCCAAATAACCCCATTCTTTGTGTTAAGTATGAAAGGCGAATCAGCTGCAATATAAACCCGTCAAATCAATTTCCGAGCTAAATATGTCGGTTCACTGTTACGTTGGTGTCACTGATAGCATTATCATAAACCCATTGTTTCATAAATATGTCTAAGTTCAAAATCAATGCTGTCTTAAGTATATGGTGTGGTGTTCCAAAAATGTGACCCTACAGAAATAGAAGCAATACAACAATCCCCGCATTGCAATTTTAGCATGTAATGTGTGCTGAGAAACCCCATAGTTTTAAAAGACCTATGTTAACTTTTTTGACCCCTGAAGTTTCATAATGAACTATTCCAACCTTTGAATTGGAAAGTTTCAAATGTGTCTTCAGGGGTGAATGAGTGAAACGTAGTTCGCTGCGATGATGTTTATATCGGCTTTCATGGAGGTGATACCACTCCGATTTCCCATGTCAGAAAATCTAAGGAATTCCTGTTATATTTTGCTGTCTCTATCGATACGATAAACGTCTTCCTTGACGGACCGTCTGCCGTGTACTTTGGCAATTTAAAACGATGTTAAACTCGGGTTTCAACAGTTATGAGCCTTTTCAAACCGTCTGAGTTATCACCAGTGTTATCAAGCATACATGTCGACACTAACGTCATCTACAGGTTGTCTTTAACTCGATTGTCTTGGTTATTTTTGTTGGAATAATGCTAGCTTGTCTTTGTGATATGATTATAACGTGGGACGTCTCAGTCGGACTCCCGGCTCCTACCATGTTATAGCTTACATGTTGTGAAGCAGACACCACTTTTTATACAAAATGGTGGCTCTACGTTTTACGAAATGTCAGGCAAAAACACTTTGTATGAAGCATCAGTCAAAAATATTCCTTTTTCGCGTATTTAATTGCTTGATGTAATATCAACTAGTTGAGAGAGAACCAGACATATGGGATTTCTCGTCGACTCGAAAAAAATCTTTGCGATTTCAAACGTAATCCGCAAGATATGGGGTATGGAAAAGCAATTTAAGAAATAGTTTCTGCAAGCTAGAACATCCCGAAAGGTCCCCTGGGTCTACCGCTATCGACAGCAGAGGAAAAGACCACCAAGTATTCCGTTTTTCTGGTTTTAACTAAAACACAACTTCCTTTCTTCCCATTGTTATTTTCCCAGTGCAAAACCGCCTCGAGGCTTGGTACACGCTCACGTTTTGGGAATCCACGCTATCTTTTACATTTTGTTTTATGCTCGTTTATCTGTAATTGCGCCTAGAACTGAAAGTGGGATTTTTTTCTTTTTTTTCCAATAAAGTACCGGAAAACTGAAATTTGGGGTTTAAGGTCAAAATATAATGTATAGTTAAATGGTAAGGTGAAGTAAGTAAATATTCTAGATAAATAAACTAAATAAATTAACTAAGAAATCCATAAATAACAACAGAAAGTAAGGAAACAGAAAAAAATAAATGACGTCGTCATGTACATCTCCGGAACCTTTTTAAAATTTTGAAAATCTACATTTAATTGATGTTGCTGTGTGAATGAACATTATTAGTACACATTTAGTGATTAGAAGGATAGCTAAGAATCAGACGTTGTTTTTAAGTATTCTAGTGCAACATCCGCCTCCAACTCAGGACAGGTCAATGCTCCCCCCCAGTAATTTTGATAACAATATATTTGAGTTAAAATCTATGTTTGGTCGATGTCTCCTCTCTAATAAGATGTCCATATTGTACAAAAGTAGAGATTTACCAACAGGCGGGTTACATGACACTTAAACAAATAAAATTAAAAAAAATAGCTCGTCCTTTTCTAGTTTATTCGTCTTGTATACTTTTTGTGTTTAAAAAGTGGGATTGGCTGTGACAAAGAACCTAGTGACATTTCTCCAAAACATTAATTGAGAGGCGTACACTACTTATACTATTTATTGCTCTAACACCGTCCTGTTGGGTACATGTGTAACTAAGAACAAAACGATTATCTACACAACTCACTATTACATCAAGAACGAAAAGACCATTGTCCAATGTTCTATAGCTTGGGTTGCTAGGTGAAGGATATATTTTTCTCTAATATACGAACCACGATAGGTAGAATGACTTGGGAGATTATAAACAGTGTTAGAAGTTTCTCAATGCACTAGTAGTTTGTAGCTTATGTTGTAATGGTATTATCCTGGGAAACGATTTAACAAGGGTTTCATATTTCCATTATGTACAAAATATGACTTGTTTTGTACATTGAATAATTTTCTTAAAAATACTGCCTGAAGGTTATGTCAATATGATAAAACAGTCTTAAATGTCTCCGACTATCTTACACTGTATTGTGTGCACAATATTCCATTTCAAAACCATTTCTTAATTTTGATATTTAATAGGAGCATGATAATTAGTGCTCTTAACATGTATTTAGTTACATCATAGGAAAAGTTGTTATAACTTTTTCATGTTACTTTGTCTTTAGTAGCCATATATCACCGGTATAGTGTAATGTCATAGTTGAGACTTTTGATCTGATGTGTCGCTATTACAATAATCCTATTTCGGGTTTTATTCTTTCACAATCTCACATCATCACAGATGCATCATCAGCAAATAGTTTTGTATTTTGTTAAAGACGCCAGTCACATTTGTAATAATAAACGGAAAGGTTTTACGTCAAGATTTCATCTAAAATATTTTATGAATTTAATATTTTCTATGAATATTAAATTTTTAATGAATAATTTCTATGAAAATTAATACATTCTATGAATATTTAAGGGCTAACATTATACATATATTTGGAACATTGATCATTTATTATAAGGGAAACCTTTAATAAGAAATTTTATATTTAGCAGTCTTTTTTATGAAATTCATATCGTTCGCGTTTGCAGTCAATTTTAAGGTAAACGAATAACAGCTTAAAAACTGTCCACATAAGCATAGTTGTAATAGTCTGGAAAAGACACGGTGTCCGATCAAATTCAGTGTGAATATTCCCGTGAATATTTGCAGCAGTGCACATGTGCATCATATGCAGTATAAAAAGACAACTTAGATACGAATGATTTGATAATCCGGAAATATATATGATTATATTGATAGAAAAAAGTCATATGATCGACACGTCCTGCATAGGTGACCTTTAAATTGAATATCGGATATATTCTCTTCCTCTGATGAGTTTCCACTGCCACATAAACTATTGATTTTGCAGTCAATATCCCCTGCACAACTTTAAAGCCTTGATAGAAAACCTATTTTCATATACATTTTTTCAGCGTATGGATAAATGAATCGCCATTACACTTTCACCGTGTCTTAAGCTTCATAATAGGTTAGATGGTTTTTCCGATTGAAGTGGCTTAACCTAGTAGAATACGTTTGTCATTCTTCAATCAAACTCTGACAGGTTTTCCGTACTCCTTGGTAAGTTGATAACATGTTACCTGATCGCGGTGTCATATAAGTGACAACTCCGTCGATTGAATCACGACGTCTCATCACTTCAATACGAGGGCGTTATCAAGCTTTAAAATGAAAAGTGAGGAAATGTAAACATAATAGACTGGGTGTGCAAAGAATTGTTAGCTTTCTTTGTCGGCTTCTCAAGTTTTTGGGAACAATTTTTCTCCCTTTATCTTTCAAAATTACATTTTTGTGTGTGCTTTTTGATGTAGTTTAATCCTGAAGATATTGATGTGACTTTAAATGTTGATCACTAACATCAGCAAATGCGATAACTCGTTCACATTAAATTGTCGCAAAGCTTCGCCAAGATAATATTGCTCTGGACTTTCGAATCAAGATGGGATAGGATTGAATTGAATCTCAATCAGGATTTGAATGTTGAGAAATCGGTTCTATAGCAGGTCTATAGATTATGTTCTTTAACTGAGTAAACTGTTCAGATGTAACTGAGTAAACTGTTCAGGTGTAACTGAGTAAACTGTTCAGATGAAACTGAGTAAACTGTTCAGATGTAACTGAGTAAACTGTTCAGATGTAACTGAGTAAACTGTTCAGATGTAACTGAGTAAACTTGTCAGATGTAACTGAGTAAACTGTTCAGATGTAACTGAGTAAACTGTTCAGATGTAACTGAGTAAACTGGTCAGATGTAACTGAGTAAACTGGTCAGATGTAACTGAGTATAATTTATCTCTGTTGGCCATTGTTACCTCTGTAACTTATTTACGAACATTACCAATGCTTTATTATTTATACTTGAAAAAAAGAAGGAAATTTCTATTTAGCAATGTATACTCAAAGAAATCTGTTTTTAAAAATTCAACTCTGGTGATGGACCATGATCATATTAAGGCCTCTATCGGACCGTAAATTCATGTTTCTGTTGACGATTTTACAAATATTGCCTAAATCAGAAGAAAAGTTTCTTCACAAAACGCTTAGTTTGACTAAATGATATGTTATTATTTTCCATGCAAATTATCATTTATAAATAAGTATATTTAAATGAAATAGCAATTATCATTCCATTTTTATCTTAATAACTTTGAATGCTGATTTGGGTTAAACTATTACTCATAAAAAGTAAAATAAGAATTAACTTCAATCAATGATTTTCACCAAAAGATCGCATATTGAGCATTTTTTTGCGAATATTTTGTGTTCCACCTATCATATGACTTATCATCGGTGTAACGTTTACAAAATTGTTTTCCTTATGGGATGATGTCATGAGAGAAAAGAATATTTACATCAGGCGAAACAATTCGACAGGTATTAATCCATATACCATTTATAGACATGAATATCTATTTGTATGATTTGATAGTATCAATATGAAATTTATACATTTTGTTTTCATTTATTTCTAGCCAGTCGAGAAGCTGCCTTCACACATGCTATATCCGCTGCTGGTGTGGTACATGCCGTGAGCCGGGCGTGTCGGGAGGGCGAGCTGTCTCGGTGTGGGTGTAGTAAGGCCATGCGTCCTAAAGAACTCAAAAGAGACTGGATTTGGGGAGGCTGTGGTGATAATATAGAGTACGGATACAAATTCGCACAATACTTCGTGGATGTACGAGAAAAAGATAAAAACCACAAACGTGGGTCGCGCGAATTGGCCAGAATGTTAATGAATCTTCATAACAACGAAGCTGGCCGAAGGGTAAGTTACATCACCAGCACAACACTAGTCTTAGTTGATATCATGCTAACATATGTGTTAATTTATCAAAGAAAACACACACAGTGACCGTGTTAAGGGAATTTATACTTTACTCCATATGTATGGGAGTATGTTGTATGTCATGTGGTCAACTTGCAATATGAGATTTTAAAGGAATCAGATTGTCGCCGACATACAAATTCAAAGATACACAAACATATTTAATGTGTAATAATAATCTTTATCATGAATGTATGTACAAACTATAAGCTATAATCAATAACATGCCTACTCGACATTACTTATAAAGTGAATTCACGAAATTCTCCTGTACATAATACTGACAACAGTGACCATACTTGCAAAATGAAGTAAAAAAATACTCCCTACAACGCCAACAAATATGTTCATGTCTAGATAAGATACAGTCTATAGTGACCAGACTAACATGTCTCTATATTAAATACAGTCTAAAGTGACCAGACTAACAGGTCTCTACATCAAATACAGTCTAAAGTGACCGGACTAGCAGGTCTCTATACTAAATACAGTCTAAAGTGACCAGACTAGCAGGTCTCTATACTAAATACAGTCTAAAGTTACCAGACTAACAGGTTATTACATTCATCAAATACAGTCTAAAGTGACCAGACTAGCAGGTCTCTATACTAAATACAGTCTAAAGTGACCAGACTAACAGGTTTTTACATTCATTAAATACAGTCTATAGTGACCAGACTAACATGTCTCTACATCAAATACAGTCTAAAGTGACCGGACTAGCAGGTCTCTATATCCAAAACAGTGTACAGTGACCAAACTAATAGGTTTCTACATTAAATACAGTCTACAGTGACCAGACTAACAGATCTCTACATCAAAAGCAGTCTAAAGTGACCAGACTAGCAGGTCTCTTTATCCAATACAGTCTACAGGTACCAAACTAACATGTATCTATATTAAATAAAGTCTATAGTGACCAGACTTACTTGTCTCTATATTAAAAACAGGCTACAGTGATCATACTAACTGTTCTCTTTATTATATACAGTCTACAGTGATCAGACTGATATGTCTCTATATTAAATACAGTATACATTGACCAGACTTACTTGTCTCTTATTAAATACAGTCTACAGTGACCAGACTGATATGTCTCTATATTAAATACGGTATACAGTGACCAGACTTACTTGTCTCTATCCTAAATACAGTCTACAGTGACCTGGTAAATAGATATCGTCCATATACCGATATAAGATCTATTATGTCGATTTCGAGGTTGGATATTAACATACTGGTTCTAACACTCTGCTCTGCTTGGTCAATAAATATTCCCTGACAACTTGCACGACGTTATATGTGATATATGATATACGACTTTACTAAGACCGACAATATATTTTTGCCATGTTTTGGCGAGGTATTGGCCTGATCTGTGATTGTATATCTGTGAAACGGCGACGGATTGTGCAAATGAAGTTGTCCTTTTTTCGCACTGTTTCACACTTCCACTTGTTACATAGATTTTTTCTTCAGTTCCCAACGACAGTTTTCCTTGAGCAGGTTTTCAGGTCAAAATGCGTTCAGGCATTTAATTTTCAACAATTTCTTGCATTATCTAACTTTAATTTTTCGTCCTTTGACATAACTTGTTTTATTACTATGTAAGCTCTGCCAATGAAACTTTATAGAGGTTTGTAGAAAGAGACGTTTTTACAAAGCCAACATCTGCTCGCTAGAAAAAAAGTCCACAGCCCACCTACCTCTGTACATCATTGTCAAAGTAAACACCGTCATAGGAATGACATTCTATATGATAGCTGCAATGGGATCCACGGTTTATCACCTTCTTATGGAGATGGTGATATTATTATGTATGCAACTCGATTCAAATGCATTTATAGTCTGTTGACATTACAATAAAACGGAGAACACTTTTCTCTGAATAAGGGTCGACACTGGAATGTGGCACACAGGCAATATGTTCTGCCTTCGGTTAAACTACCGAGAGAGAAGGATTTCTGATAAATAAATCAAAGTATTAAACGGAATACATCCCCTTCTGTAACACCTGTAAATACGATTTGTGACTTCTTTTTAGATATACAAATTTTTCCTGGTAAAAATGATCGAAAACACTAAACACTATTTACAAAGTAGAATTTAGAAACTACTGTTCACTTCTGTTGTTTTTCATTTTTGTGAATATCTCGACATTGTCGTGTTTCAACTTGTACCTCATACGGTACCTGTCTGTATTATATCTGAACTGAAAAAGAAATAGAATTACATATGATTACCTGCTATCTTTATAATATTTAAGTTAGTATTAAGGTAGAAATTCTATTTTATAACAAATAGGGTGTAAGTTAGTCGACAGGAGTGAGTTTTACTACACATTTTTGTGGTCAAGACTACCTTTGACGAGCAACCTTGTTTATACGCGCGAGAAGGTGTAGCTTCATTCTAGACTGACATCAATGTATTCTTTTGTTCATTTTACTGATCGATCGATAATTTTACTGAAGCAAATCAGTGAAGTCATTCATATATTCACTGAATCGTTCATTCATTAAGATGACTAATTATGCATTTTAAGTATTGAATTAATTTAGTAATTACTGCGGTAAATCCTGATGAATCATTTTTTTTCTCGCGCTCTCGCTTTCTCAATCAAAATCTATCATTTCATGTCTAAGTATACTTACCCTTCGTAAATTAAATCCTGAGAAATTCATCCATAGCGTTAACGCATTTTCATATTGTTCAGAACAAAGCCCTTTCACACGCTTATAAAACGGATCATGAGTGTGACTGTGCTCACTTTAGTAAGTAATTATACTTAGGGATTTCGATCCTTTTATTTGACGTTTGTTTTATACAAGTCTTCACCCTAATACGTGCTTCGCCGATATTTTACTATATAGATAAATATTTTTATAACTATACAATTGTAAGTCCAATATTGGCGTGGTAAAATGTATTGTGGCTGTATTACACGAAAATTAGGCACTTAGGAAATAGTTACGGTATCTTCACCAAACACTGGCTATTTGCCCACGTATCTGGTTATTTTCAGTAGTTTTCGTTTCAGTTGTGGTTTAAGTGTTGATGTCTTGGTTGAAAACCGCTCCACGAGACACCGACAATGATTTAAGACACGCTCATGGTGTCTTTGTTAATCACACACTTTCTCTGATTTGCCGGACTATGTAATGTCGGTTACTGTATGTGGTGAAGGCAATATTTGCTATAATTGTTTGGTTGCTGTCGCTGCGTTTCAATGTCGACCTTTTGTATTTCTCTTGTAGTTAGAAGATGTTTCCCTTCAAATATTAGCATGGTTTATTTATTTTACTTGAACATCGATACATAGATGAAATAAGCAAATTTGATTTTTTTCCTTAATAGTATCTTTCAATGATTCGTGTTTTAATGCTTTCAGGCTATGTCACAGATATCATGCTTCTGTTTGGAACAAAAGTGTATTTGATTTAATTGACAAATTGTTTTTGCTGTAAACTTTCCCATTCTGTTAAATATTTAGTCATATTAAGTGTCATCAATATAGATTACCGATATAAAACTTACAGTTGTAAACTGCAGCTTTTTGTACTTCATATTGAATGCACATTAAAGCACCAAGGCGGACGAAGACTTCTGAGCTGGTTGATGTTTCGGTCTTGGTGCAGAACCGTGAACAAAATGCGGCACTTGCGAGATTTTTTCTCACAATGTGTCTATAACAAGATGATCACATTTCATCTCGCCTTACCGTGATTGAATTCGAGGAGCAGAAGCCCTTTCGAATAATTCGGGGGTCAGGGGTTATCACACAGTCTGCCTGAGCCCTTAATAGACTTGTACAGGGATACTACTTTATCTCCTAATTTCGTTGAAACCCCCGCGGGGCTCAGCAAAAGAAGGGGCAGAGGCCCTGTCTATCGGGTGTCCATCGGTGTATTCAGCAAACATACAATACCAAGCAGGATATGAGATTGAAACATGTTTTCGTCTATTGTCATCCAGACTTCAAATAAGAGTAAAACGGGTCCTATGAGTGAACTGATCTCTATTCAGGTGGTGTTAACGCTGAACGTCTACCAGTTTAAATGGGTACATGTTAAGAAGATGTCTTTGTCAAGAGGTTGATGTCAAGTGTGGTGGCCTAAGGAAAAACATCATTATATGTAAACAAGTAATGCAATTATTTTGACAAGTTTCCAAGACTGTGCGCCACTTTTTTGTTAACTAAGGTGACCGTTTCGTCCCTTCATGTGGCTTTTTTTCGGGACATTTCAACTCGGTACAGGTGAATTAAGTACACGGATAGCTGGTTTTAGGTACAATTTCAATAGTAACAGCAGGATCATAATTCTTTTATTCTAGTCACACATACAGAGGAATGTAAACTAAACAGTGTTAAAGCGAGTTTCAGCATGTTTTTTTTATATCATTGTGATGGTTTGGAATCCTGGGTTATTTCTGTTTGAGTACTTATTTTAATAAAAAAAAATCATTCCAACAATATAAGGACCATACCAACACTGAAATGGATTGTAAAAGTTATGTGTTTGCATTCTGTGAGTCTGCCTCCCTTAGTTATATCGACATTTAATTAATGATGTCCATTTCCCGAATAAACTGTATGTAACCAGGTTATAAATCACAATTTATTATTTTGAAACTCAGTATTAATAAGGGGTTGTTTTGTGATATTCATCGTACGTTTGAAAATAAGATAAACTTCGAAAATAGTATCAATTTTGCATACCCGGAGTCGCCGAAGGAGCCTGTTTGCTCCCCCTATTCCAAATTACGGTTTCTTATTCATAGTTTCACTAGTAATTTTCTATAAGTCGGGTAATTCAGTTTAGATTTGCTGTACAAGAACCTTTTTGTTTTAGTTTCTTTTCCTATTTGTATAAAGGAAAAGGTCATGTTTGAAATCGAAATTATCTGGGAAACTGCGTAAACCTTGTACATTATGTTGTCTT